CAGTCCACTGGGAATTCAATCCCTACACCCTGAGAATTAGCTCTTACAGACCTAATCCCTTATACTTTTCATTTTGTTACTGAAAAGCAAGGAAAAGATTTCCATTTATCTTCTTGGAATAAGATTGAAAAAAGATACCTAGTATTTAGCATTCTACAAGTCTGAGGCAAAGAAATATGGCCTCTTGCTCCTGAAAGCATAAAAGCTGTTTCCCTAGAGAAAGAGCTGCCACAGCTGTGGGTATTCCCTCCACTTGGCTGCATCTTCCAGTGTGTTATTTTTGGTTTATTTTCCCTCAATACTATTTTTGTTATCTTCTTTTTCAGTCTCTGCTGCCTTGAAAGCTGCACTTACACCATTATTATACTTTTCAAAGAGTGAATAGAAGTTTCAAATAAACTCAAAGATCTGGAACGCCTTTGTAAACACCCATCATAAAAATGTGTATTAATGTACCTGATACATTATGGACATATACATATACCACGCGCTCTCAACTAATACCGTGTAGGCAGATTTTTAGTTTCCAGAGTTTCCAAGCATAGGTATTTAATATGACTACACTGAATCTTCAGAGATGCTAACGTAAGAAAAAGTATTTCTCTAAGGATAGGATGAGGTCTGTCTGCTTTAAGATCATGTAGAATGGGTATGAATATTCAGATTCCAGAATTCTATCCCCTACTTAATGAAGCCCAATTCACAAAAGTGGGGACCTAAAAATACACACTGGAATTATGAAACTCAAGTCTGAACATAACCGATATTATACTAAAATTTTAAATTGAGTCTGAGGAGATTAAAAATATTAACAGTATTTATTCCTGGAGCCTGTATTAATATCTGGCTTATTATTCACTTTGATGACTGAGAATCAGTTTAATTCTGCCTGACATTAGTGGCACAAACCTGCTGTGTACACCAAGTGTCTCACTGATACAGTCTCAGGTTAGACAAACTGAACACTCAATATATCAGACAGATAATGTAACCAAATTCAAAGCAACAGCACATTTCTTAATGAATGGGCTTTTCAGAACATCACCAAGACAGAGGGTAACAAAGAGAATGCTGGTACTTTGCTGTCTGGGAAAAGCCATAAAAATCAAGCTAAATTTGGGGCCTAAGAAAATCAGTATGACCTAATTAGGTAGAGGGACCAAAAATACATTGAATGGAGTCTGACTTACCAACAAACTAGAATAGACAGTTATTTGCTGTTACTAGTTTAAAATCCACTCAGAATATGAAAGAAGAGATTCCATACTAAATATGTATTTTCCAGTACTAGAAACTGCTTACTTGATTTAATTGTGAATGAATGTATTAAAAAAAGTGTTTTGAACCATCTAGCTCCTTTTAATAAAATTAAAGTGGATCAGAAGAATAAGTTGTCTTCTGCATAACCTTTTTTAAGCTGGTGCTAAATTTTAAATAAAAACCGTAACATATATGAATTTAGGAAATCTTTGTGCTTGCTATGACATATATTCTCTCAAATAAGGTGAATCGTTAGTAGCCATTTGGATAACTGTCAGCAAATTTCGAAAACAACTTCATAGGTAAGTTTTATAACTTTTATTTCCACGTGGATAGAGGCAAATAGGCTCAGAAAAAGAATAAGCTAACTTCCTTTTAGAATCCCAAAGAAGAGACAGGAAGAAATGGTTTTGTTTTAAATTTTTTTCCAGAAGTAAAATAGTTAATTTAAATATTTTAATTTTGTGCCAACAGTCTCGCTTGAGCTGCAAATTATTTTTCAAGTTGTATGCCCCTTAGGTCATAGCATCTGGAAATAAAAGCCACTTATGGTTGTGTAACCATCACTCCCCCCCAAAAAAGAATCATTTAACATCCCCAGCATTCTGTGCTGCCCCATTATATCACGATAACGAAACCTACCGCAGGAGACCACTCTGAAGATAAACTAAAACGGTGTGCACTTAGCATGTTATAAGCCAGGGCTCTTATTCACAAAAACACCTTTGTACTTAAATTCACTTTTGATAAAGTTTGCCTTTAACAAAAATTGCAGAACATGTGTTCCCCATAATTTAATTATCTGTTTTAAGTGCATGACTATTCTAACACAAAGGAATATGGGTCCTGCAATATGAAGACTGATTAAGAAACTGTTTCCCCTGTTCCCTTTTTTTCTTGATGTCTCCTCAGTCTCTGTTAAGTATCCGAGGCTCTCTGTTTTCCCCAAGACGCAATAGCAAAACGAGCATTTTCAGCTTCAGAGGTCGAGCTAAGGATGTTGGCTCTGAAAATGACTTTGCTGATGATGAGCACAGTACATTTGAAGACAGCGAGAGCAGGAGAGACTCACTGTTTGTGCCACACAGACACGGAGAGCGACGCAACAGTAACGTTAGTCAGGCCAGTATGTCATCCAGGATGGTGCCAGGGCTTCCAGCCAATGGGAAGATGCACAGCACTGTGGATTGCAATGGTGTGGTTTCCTTGGTGGGTGGACCTTCAGCTCTAACCTCACCTACTGGACAACTTCTGCCAGAGGTGATAATAGATAAGTTAGCTACTACTAACTACCAAATTGAAATAATCAGCCTGGGCAATTTAGCCTATTATACCATCCTGCTTCTCCAAAATAAACATCTTTAAAATAATATATGATTAATTGAATGGAAACCAGTAGAATTATTAGAACCAGTTGAATTGTATGGACCAGCTGAATTGTATGGGACCATGAACTTCTAAATACGCAGACTACAAGAGCCCAAGTTTTAGAATCTGGGGTAAATCACATCTTCAAATTCAGTAGACCTACTAATGCAAAATAATGGACACTTTCTCAATCAAATACTTACTATAGATATACTTTTACCCAGATTGAACAATTATTTATATTATTAGGTATATATTAAAGTTGAAATTACAATGACAAATATATTGCTGAGTACTTCGATTTTAAAATGACTCCAAAATAAAACACATTGATATCTTGTAAGATGGTACATAAAGATAATTTTTTAAATCTCAGGAAAGCACACACATTTCATTGTACATCTGTGTTCGTGCATTGAAAAAAATGGCCCATATTTGTCAATATTTCCTATATAGCCTCAAAGAAAATAATTTATCACTGGAGCTATATGATTGTTTTGGAGGACAATTGATCTTATTATTAATCATTGAAAAATACTGAAAATAAATTGCATTTGAATGAAATGAAATAATAAATACCTTTAGCATGCTTATGAAAATTTTCCAGAAAACTCTAACAAATTAAAATATTTCTGTAACATAATTGCCCTGTACAAGTATATCCAACTGGTGGTTTGATCACCAATGATACTTTATAAACTTAAAATGTAATAAAGTCAGTATTTAATTTATATCTGAAAACTCTTACTTGAAAAAATTGCATGTCGCATGATTTTCCAAAGAAATGCTACATGGTGTTATATTATTCATTGAAAGGGTGGTTTGAGCCATCAGTATTTGGTTTGCAGGGCACCACTACTGAAACAGAAATCAGAAAGAGAAGGCTAAGTTCTTACCAGATTTCAATGGAAATGCTAGAGGATTCTTCTGGAAGACAAAGAGCAATGAGCATAACCAGCATCTTGACCAACACAATGGAGGGTAAGAAGGAGGCCAATGGGCAGTTGTCTTGACTGTATATTTAGTAGGACTTTTTCCCTTCATTCCCCCAAGATCAGAACTGTATAAACACATCTAAGTATTTGTAATACATTTTACAACATTAATTACAAAATTATTACTGTCCTTAGTACTTTTTGACTCCTGTCTACAGAGTGATATTTCAGTGAGGATTTATCCTTAAATGATTAGAGTGAACACCTCCCTTTTAAAGTATTGGTATGTAGAAATATAAGGAAACATCTTTTAAGCTTAGTTTGATTTCTAAGCATGGAGATTGTGATGGGTTTGGAAAAAGAGTATGAATGAGCTGGACAAATCAAAACTTGATATACACTTCAACAGAGAGCCTAAAAAAAGATCTCTCCTCCATCATCCACATATATGGAAACACTGCATTCAAAGAACTGACAATTTTCTGCACAGAAATGGACAGTAGCTAATTACTCCCTTGTTCATTGATTAAGCCAATCTCCACTTCTCCACTTCTTGAAATTTGGAGAGACATTATACTACTGATGCAATTTTATGTCAGTTTTATCAGTCACAAGTGGCTTATGTTCTTTAAAATACATCATTTATATTCTGCTTTGGAATAGTCAAACAGTCACATAATAATTCTTTTATAACAGCTTCACACATTAGAATTGCTACTGACATTTTATATTAGGCTTGCATCCTAAAAGGTATGAGTGTAAATAAGTAATATATATGAATAACAAGTAGATTTGAGTCTAAATCTATACTAAAAAAAGGACATACTACATTCATATTGTATGCAAGGTCAATGTTGATACAGAAACAATCAGAAGAAAAACATACACATAAATAAGGATCACAGCTTAATGCAGTGTTGTTAAAAAGGTGCTTTCAAAAGAAGAGATAAATTGAGTACATTTACTATTTCTGTAAAACTTACTTAAAAATCCTGTTTTGGGCCCTCTCTGGTGGCGCAGCTGGTTAAAGCACAGCACTAAGAAGCTCAAGCTCAAGCCACTTCCGCATGAGTTCGATCCCCGCCTACCCCACAGGTGACCATGTGGCGAGGCAAACCTCTCCTGACCCACCCGCTGCTCCCCTCAGCAGTGTACTTTGTCAGTCGGCCTGTTCCGCTCCTCACTCTGTCTCTGGTGGCTCCTCCCACCCTCCACATCTCTGGCCTGTACCCCAGTTCTGTATGAATAAATAAATAAATCTTTAAAAAAAAATCCTGTTTTGATAAACAAGCACTCCCTATTTTGTTATTTTGAAGCAAAGTATTAAATTAAAAGTGTCAATTTAATCAAAAGAGAATAGAAGTCTATATAATATTTTAATGAACATTTTATGAAAATATTTAATGGCAATTTTTCCTAAAGAGTGACAAACTTGAAACATGACCTTTTATCCTAAACAGAGGCATCACTTTTATCAAATCATGTATACTATATAGCGATAATAATTTATGTTTATTGTTCCTTACTCCTCTTTATTTTCTCCTTAGAACTTGAAGAATCCAGACAGAAATGTCCACCATGCTGGTATAGATTTGCCAATGTGTTTTTGATCTGGGACTGCTGTGATGCATGGTTAAAAGTGAAGCATCTGGTGAACTTAATTGTTATGGATCCATTTGTTGATCTTGCCATTACTATTTGCATTGTCTTAAATACTCTCTTTATGGCCATGGAGCACTATCCAATGACAGGTCAATTCAGTAGTGTGTTGACTGTAGGCAACCTGGTAAGTTCACTTGAATGTTACTTATTTCCTTTGACTAGGGTTGGGAAAAACAGACCAAAGAAAAAAATCCATTAGTTTTGTGTAAAACCCAAAATATAATTCATCTTTCTTCATAGGAAGAAACACCTAAAAAATATAATAAGGAATCTCAGTAATTGATAAGGTCTAAAATTCAGCTAGTATGAAGCTGATTGTTCAGACTAATGGTCTTGGGATTGGTCATGATATCTTACCAATTGTAAATATACTAAAATATTTATTGCCATTCTTGCAGGAAATATAGACCAAAAGAAGACATAAGATTTAACTGACTTCACAAACATTCAGGTTTAACACACCTAGACTCTAAAGAAAGCATGCTCACTGAAGAAAATACAAATATAATTTTTTTTTTACAAAAAGGAATTATCTTATAGAATCCTTCAAAAGTAGTTATACAAAGAAGACATAGTTGGTAAAAAAAAATATTTGTAATTTTGTCATACCTTTGGTTCAGTTACTTGAGTATGCATCTATATATGTGTGTGCTGACATGTACATTCCCTCCTAAATTTATGTGAAGTTGAAATCTGTGGACAGATTTAAAGTAAGATTTATATAATTTATTAATCAAGACAGTCTCCTTTGGCACAGGGTAGAAACTAACAAACAGACTAACTCATGGCATGGAAAGAAACAAACTACTAACCCACAGAAAGGGTAATTTTAAAGTTGGGTTCAGGAAATGCTTTAACCAAATGCTTGAATGTAGCCCACAGGTTCATGTATCTAAGTCTAGATCAGATAATTACCCATAACTCAATGGTTTTACAACTTGCAATGTCTTTCCTGAAGGGAAAAAAAGACTCCATTGTCTTTGCTCAAAATCTCTTTGAACTACAGTTCAAAGACTAACATGATAAGGTGGTTTGGCACAGCTTCATTAGGTGTTCACTTCTAGTTTATTCAGCCTTGACAGAGAGTGGACTCATGTGAAAACAAGGCAATCCCAAAGACACAGAAGTAGAAAAACAATCCCAACAGAAGGGGGAAAGAGAATACTTGATAAATAATTGCATAAATCTCTACCACAGTATGTGAGCTGAACCTTACTGCATTTTTTTCTTTCAATGAAGCATCAAACAGATTCCTGAGATATTCTTCATCTTTGGTACTTTAAACACTGAGTTTTTTCAGCTTCCTTTGATCTTTTCAATTACTCCAGCTCTGCCTCTTTTTCTGGATTTTTCTTCATATGCCTGTTTAAGCTATGTTTTCACTCAAGGTTTTTTAATGTACACACCAAACTCTGAATTATCTACTTTTGTGATCTAACCTGTGTTCAGTCTTGTGTTTCCAACTCTTACTAACTATTGCTCAAGGATAACTTTAAAAACAATAGTCACAGCTGAAAGATCACCTCTCCCACAGTTTATTGAAAGTCCTAATAATGTATTTCAATCTTGTTTTACCTCTGGAAGTGGCCTTCTAGTTTCAGAGACAGAATCTCATTGCCATTTTTACTTGCTTTTGCTTTTCTATAATAATGACCTAAAGGCCCATTATTTCTTCTTTCAAGGTATCTCTTTATTAACTCTATAACTAACATTACAATAAAATTTCTGGTACTAGCCAATCAGTATCCATTCACCACACTGAAGTATGTAGTTAGCATTCAACACTCTATCCTAGTTTTCAAGACTCCCTATTTGATTTCACCATTCCTATACTACTTTATGTCCACTGTTTCCTAATCAGCCGCCATCAGCCTTGTCAATGTACCACACAATGTTTCATGCTACATGTGGGAAAAATATTTACTGTTCTCTACATTCATGTTTGTAGTGTTCTGACTTAAAACATATCATATTGGTTTTTCCTATTTCTCAAGATCCCACTCCTGCCTCATGTTATTTAATGACAATTAGCCCATGTCAGACACTCTTTTCTTGATTTCTAGTGCATTTGTGAATAAAATGACTAGTAAGAAGAAGATTTCTGTCTCTATACTAATTATTGGTTTTCAAATCTACTATAAATTACTTGATTTACAGAGTTATGTCCCATTATTTTTTAATACTTCTCACAGTGTTTATATGCTTGTGCTTAATAAATAACCAACTGATGGTTTTTTATGTAAAAGGGTTGTTTTAGGTAGGATATTTTTGAGGAAATAACAGAGGATTCAGGGTCAGGGGGAACTGATTTGACCTCACTGTCAATGTTTACTAATAATGTTCCATCTGGACAAGACTGATAAAAAAAAAAATCCAAGCTTTTGTTTTTTGTTATTGAAATGAATACAATAATGCCCACTGCTAGAGTTGTGAAGGTCAGATGAAGTAATACAAAAACACATAGCACTGTGCCTGGTATCTAGCATGTGCTCAATAAACTACTTCCTTCCTCTTATGTATGCCATTAACCTTTCTTTAAAATATTGATGGAAAATAGTTATGCTCTAATTCTTGTATTTTTCCCAGGCTATTGGGTAATTAGGGAAGTGGGACAAGGGAAATGAAATTTTGGATATTTTCCATAGTGAAACAGGAAATTAATTCTTTGTAGAACTCTAATATTGAGCAGTTGAGCAAGAAAATGCAGAATAAGACAAGTTTTAGTTGAATTGATAACAGAAGAATTTTCCATGAAGGAGTTGTGGAAGTTTCAGTCTTCACTTAGATCAACTGCCCCTTTTGCATCTTTGTTTCTACGATGTTTCTACCACATGTAAAAATTACTTGACTTCTCTGCTGATTGAATCTGAATACCAAGAGACCTCAAATTCTATTTTGTTTCTAAGATTCTGCCTTATTTTTGGTTTTGATTTTGGTTTTGTTTTAACCATTATAAAATCCATATGTTCACTGTAAGGATTCTAAAATTTCCACCATTCATGGTAAATTAGACAATCTCTTATCATACAAACATTTTCAACTAACTGTAACTCTTTTTTTCAGGAAATAGAGATAGAGATTTGTAGTTCCTCGACTGGTTGCTTTTCTTACTATAACTTTCATTGTAATCAGTGAAATTCCCTTATTCTGCTAGAACTCAAAATTTGGCACCTGTTTTTAGATCTTATAAGCTATTTGCAAATGAAAGTCAAGCAAAACACAATTAACAAAACTATTTAAATTAAGTAGTAAAGGTTCTGAATTCAAAATCTCAGGAAAGGAACTGCTAACTCTTTGTCTATTGAAAGTCAAAACTTGGAGGCTATGTGGTAGAATTCACTTGGGAGTCCTCTTGTATCAACAAAGGAGTATTTTGTCACCTAACTCCTTTTCAAGTATAATATGGAAATGCCATTGTTTTCTCCAAATTAATAACTTCTAAATAGGTTTTTGTGCCACAATAATTGTGTGTACACCAATTTCTGAATAAACATTGCCAAGCAGTACAATATTGTTAGAAAGCCAAGAATTTCAGAAACAGATTTGATGAGTCATTGCAATGAATATCCTCACTTGACAGAAGAGGGAGAAGAAAATCACCCACCATTTTCACCATTTTTCTTTAAAAATATTTTGGTTTCATCCAATAAAATCAACAACAAAAAATATTTTAAAATGTGTATCCAGAAGGGCTGAAATAATAAATCTAAAATCATTAAGATAAGATGCTGGTTGAAATGAGGCAAAACAAAGCTATAGTTATATCAGATCCTATAAAAAAATAGAATGTAAGTCCATAGAGCAAAGTAACCAGTATGTAAGCTTCAGCCTTTAAAATAATAAGCATTTCTTGGGCCCTCCACAGTGGCACGCAGATTAAAGCACAGCACCATGAAGCTATCTGAAGCCACTGCAGCATAAGTTTAATCCCCAGGCAGGGAGGTGACCCACATGGTGCTGCAGACCTCTCTTAACCAGCCCGCTGCTCCCCTCAGCAGTGTACTTGTCAGTCAGCCTGTTCTGCTCGCCACTCTCTCTGGTGAATCCTCTCACCCCTCACATCTCTGGCCTGTACCCCAGTTCTTGTATACATAAATAAATCTTAAAAAAAAAAGCCACATTTCTTATTTTAATGTCTACCAACATAATTTTCCTCTCTAAGTAAATACCAACAGAGAAATCTTTCCATCACCAAATTGAGACCCTAATTTGTGATACATGATCATTCTATTCCCTCTTCCTCCCCAAATTAGCTCCAAATCCTCCAGATTTCCTTGCTTTTGTTCCAAGGCTGCTCTTGGACTCCCTTATATTTTACAAGTTATCGTGTGCCCTCGTGTAGAACA